AGGAGATAATGACAAAAGTCAGTACACAGCAAGTATATTAATGTTTTCAATGACTCAATGATTTTAGGCAGTTTACAATGATCTTCATCAGTTCTTCAAACCTCGGAAAGCCGTGACAGGAAATGACAGGACTGAATTGCGACGTAGCTCTGTTAGCTGGTCTTCCCTCTTTCACTTAAGGGTTGTACAACGATTTAAATCTAAAATATGTGCGTTTTTTGAGCGCTGTGTTTCAGAGCTTTCAACTCTTTTGACATGTGAAGAAGCTAGTCTTTTCCTTTTTTCTTGTGTACTTTAATTGACGGATACGAAAGTTTTCTGTTTTAACAAGTACATATAGTTCCTATTTCTGTACGGTTATCTACAGGATACCTGAATATGTCTCTTAATCTATTGGCTGAATGACGTTGCATGGTCATTTCTTATCGCCAAGAAACTTAACCACAAGAAGAAGTCGATGAAGGAATTTATGAGAAAAAAATTTTTGATGGAGGGATGAAGTTGAGAATGTGATTTGTGAATAAAATGAAGGCGTAAAAAATGGTATCAGTAGAAAAGCTTTTCCATTATCAATCGCTCAGTCTTCACTGAGAAGCATTTTATAAAACCGAGTGTTACAATATACATTTTTAAGGTTAATCCTTTTGATGCTGGAAATTGCTTCGTAATTTCGTTCCATTAAAAAACTTAATTCCGTTCCAACATCTTCATAGTTTGATTTGTTTGAATTATCAAGACTTACTATCTTCGGGTGTATATAGTTTCCTTCACCTTGTATTTCTTTCATCTGGTCCTATAATGGACAGTGTTGTTGTTGTACTCCATGATCTGCAGCCGCCAGTTCTTTTCGCGTTCCTTCTTTACCTGCGCACCTGCGGATCTTTTGTTTGTCTTCGCCCTTTTTCTCGCGGTGCTTCTTCATTTCGACGTCAAGTTATTGAGGTGTTTTATCTTCCTCCCTCTGTGGTGGCGCCGGTTTCTCCTACAAAATTATGATCATGCTCATAAGCTAGGATGTAGATCCAGCCTTGTTGTTTGGACTTTGGCTCGGTGATTTTGACATGCATCAGCTGAGTTCGTAATTTTTTGTTTAGATCTGAATACTAGCCATATTTGACGCGTTCGGACGATCCTCTACAGCTTTTTGCTTAGATTTTGTGCGTATGGAGCAACAAAGCTAAAGTTAAATTTCTTTGGCTCGCTTATAGTTGTTTCTTTTTTACGTTTCCTTTGGTGGTTGCTGAGCGTTTAGGGTTGTTATTAGTCGTCCAGGACAGCTACTGTTTCTAAGAGTTGACCGTATGTCAGCCAGTTCCTTTTTGATCTCTGTGTCGTTTATAAAGTCATTTCGAAACATCTGCTTTTCAGAGTGCCCTTCTTATGTGTGACACCTCAGTGTCGTACTTATTCCCCTCTCTACTTACTGCGTTCAGAAAAGGTATCGAGTTAGTTTGTTCCATTTCCATAGGAATATAATTTCATTTGGATATAGGATGTTCTTGTAATCCACGAAGAATGTCTTGTTATCTTTTTTACAGATGGCGAATATGTCATCAGCGTACGTTCTGAACAATAGAAATTGGACGTTTCTGTCAGAAGTAAAGAATGACAGTGTTTGTAGATGGCCCATAAATAATTTTGTTGGAACTTGAATCAGCCGGGAACCCATAAGCGAACCACTGGTTTGTTCATGCCATTAGCCATTGAAGTTGAAACTGCCATTTTCTACGAGACAAACGTTCAACATATCGACAATGGATTTAACTGTCATTGTTTTTTCTTCTCTGAATCCGAATCGCTGTCGAGCCTCCTTGCCACCCTGCTAAAGATTTCTTTTAGAGATGTGCTTTTGAACATATTTTTGTCGTCGTAGCTGACCATAATTATATCATCTTTGGTTTGCAATTGACGAAGATACATGGAGTTATTGATGAATTCACTGCAATTTTTGACATGGCAACTCATCTTTCCGACGTAATTTCGAGAGTATGGACTGATTAATCGTCGGTTGGAATGATGGAATGCTGCCACTGCATGAGAAAATGGAATGTATCAATGCTTCAGTTTTATGCGTCTGTGCTAAACCGTAAAATTGCGACTCGTCGAAGTTGATTGTATATCTTAATCGCTCATTTATCAGTTTGGCCTGTTTTTCAGTCTAGCTGCTACATTCTAGACATTTGAAGCATATCCCACGAGGTAATGTATTAGGATTCTAGTACGATCCTCGCGAATACAAACGTAACGAGGTGACAGCACTTCTTTTATCCGCTTTAAAAACAACAAATATCTATATGAGAAATTCTGTAAGCGGTGTCGTCCTCGTTCTCAAATGGATGTTTAGAATTATTGCGTGAATTACCACAATTTCTGTAATTTTATGCTTCTGGAAATCGCTGTAAAATCAATGGCCCCCTTCATGGCGATGTGCGACAAACAGATAAAAAATTTATTTACTTAGGGCAAACCTTTCACCATGCTTGAACACTGATAGCAACTGGTACTGTTTATTATGTTGTATTCATGTTTCTTTTCTTATGACATATTGCTGGTATTTATTATGGGTTTGCTTTATTCATGATTCTTAATTCTCCACTGTCTATCTTGTTTTGATTCATCTCATCCAGATGCTAAAATTTTTCTACATGTTACTCGTTTTTTTCGTTTGGCTTTTGTTATTCCCTTTTTAGCTCTATCAGCTATTTCCTGACCTTATTCCTCATATATTTTTCCTTCCACTTATTCGTCTGCTTCTTGTTTTTTCTTTTGTTTTATTCTACTTCTTTAATTTAAATTATTTTTCATCGTTAGTTCAATTTTCTGCCCTTCTCAATGCATGCTTCCATTTATCCTTCTGGACTCTTTCATCTTCTTCTATTCTTTCTCGGTTTTCATCGTCGATTTCTTCTTCTTTCGTATCTCCGTTTTATTTTTATTTTTTTTCTCGTTTTCTTTCTCTTTCTCCCTCCCGTATTATCTTTGTTATGAACGCTGTCATACCGTCTAAGCGTGGTTATATACCTCTTTCTACTTACAGTGCAGTACTTAGTATGGGAATATATGATGTAGCAGTTATGTAAACATATGTTTTTAGGTTGTAATGTAAAATAATTACCTGTGTATTACCGATCTGTTAAATTGTTTTTTTAGTTACTACAGAGGCACACACGGTGTCATAGTCGTGTATGATGTTACCAGTGGCGAGTCG